CGTTCACAACGAGGTTGTGGTCCGCCACACCTGACCGAAGAGCAAATAGGGTTCTAAAGGCTTAGGGTTCTAGAGGCTTAGGAGTGAATAAAATATGAGCGTCGCTGAAGAGCTCAACCATTAGGAATCCCCCATCTCAAAGTGTCACATGATTTTTTACTAGAGTCATGTAGAATCTAAGGGTGCGTTCGTGCGGTTACTGCTGTTAACACGAGTACAGATAAGTTCATGGTACTAATTACGTGCGCAATATTTGCACTTAACAACGGCATAGCAACAGGATGTCTGATGATGTGCGCTCTGATTGCAAAATGGGGCGTCGTCTTTGTTAATGGATATCTGGGAAACCCAGCATAAATAAAATTATTCATGACAAATTCAAATTTCATTAACCATTTAACTTACAGTAGCATTGACGTTGACTTAGACGTCTCGGTACCGCACTGGTTAGTGTCCACAGCAGCGGAAGTAATGAAAAGAAAATGTCTCTAATTTAACGATTCGGCCTCATGAAATGGTATCAGTACTGACGAAATCGGTACAGTGCAACAGAGAATCACCATCTGCTGTTGGATACACCATTTCGATAATAAAAATGACTTAGAGTTTTCGTACACCGTTCGATCGATACGATTTTGGGGTGATTCAAAATGAACTAATTTTTTAAAATTCTGTCCGGCATATTCAAAACAAATGCGTGAAATCAATGCATTAAGGGTGAATCTTTAATTTGTGCTACATTTTATCTCAAATTAGTGCAAAATTTTGCAATTTTGATTTTTTTTTTAGGTAGAAAGGGTCCACAAAATCCTCTTTTTTTTATACTGTTCTGAGATTCGACGTATTTTATTGAAAATCTTACGAATGAAGGAAACTTTTGTGTTGTTCGTTATATGGTGTTTACATCTTCCAAAAATTTATGTTTGCTATTTCATTTCGTTTCATTTCATTTTTGGTGTTTTACAAGGTCAGTCGTTGAAAAATTCCGCGCTATAACATCGTCTGCTCGCTCCAAAAACCGTTGTGTGCTTGAAAGTAAAGTACGCATGCGAACTTTTAATCAAGGTTTTCTCTATGGGACACGAACATACTTGAGCAGGATGCGTGCGCATTACACTCGGGTGCAGGAGAATTATCCCCTTCTGGGTGCAGACCACTAACTCAAGTGAGAATTTCTGACCAGCTCATTAGCATTAAAAGTGCCCCCACAGTATCTTTTGAAAAAGGAGATTGTTTGGCCCCCAAAATGGTGAGATTGTATAAATCGTTGCCAGGATCAACTCCCTGGGTCTTTGAGCTTTCATATGAGGGCAGAAGGGCTGAAAACTACGGTTGAAANTGTTCACAACGAGGTAGTGGTCCGCCACACCTGACCAAAGAGCAAGGCAAATAGAGTTCTAGGGGCTTAGGAGTGAATAAAATATGAGCGTCGCTGAAGAGCTCAACCAATAGGAATCCCCCATCTCAAAGTGTCACATGATTTTTTACTAGAGTCATGTGCCAGAATTTAAGGGTGCGTTCGCGCGGTTACTGCTGTTAACACAAGTACAGATACGTTCATGGTACTAACTACGTGCGCAATATTTGCACTTAACAACGGCATAGCAACAGGATGTCTGATGATGTGCGCTCTGATTGCAAAATGGGGCGTCGTCTTTGTTAATGGATTTCTAGGAAACCCAGCATAAATAATGAAATTATTCATGACAAGTTAAAATTTCATTAACCATTTAACTTACAGTAGCATTGATTCTTTGCCCTGCATCGAAAAAGCTAATGAAAAAATATGGTTTGAAAAAAACCCCAAAATATTGTATTTTTCCCCTGAAAAAATTGCGTGTTGGCAAATTTTATCAATATCTAATAAAAATGAGTTTTCCTGCTATAAAAACTAGAATCCAGACATTTGGTAATGGAAAAATCCGTCATCTAAAATTATTTTATGTTCTATTAAACTTAATTCTTAGAGTCAGGAGTTACTGCTTTGTGGAACTTATGACAAAAAAGAGGATACCCTTGCGCCATACCGGTACTCTTGTAACGGCAGACTTTTGAGTAACATTCTTGAGTTACATTCCTGAGGCGAGACACAGGTCCAGCGCAGTTGTGTGTGCGTGCAAACGTGGTGTACATAGTGGGGATTTCTGCACAAAAGAAGTCCACATAATGTAGGGTATGATGGCGTTGTGTGTAGTGTACGCGTGACATGTACATTGTACATTTTCATGCACGTGCTGAGACAGACGCAACGACTTTGACGTCTTGGTACCGCACTGGTCAGTGTCCACAGCAGTGGAAGTAGTGAAAAGAAAATGTCTCTAATTTAACTATTTGGCCTCATGAAATGGTATCAGTACTGACGAAATCGGCACAGTCTAACAGAGAATCACCATCTACTGTTGGATACACCATTTCGGTAATAAAAATGACTTAGAGTTTTCGTACACCGTTCGATCGATACGATTTTCGGGAGATTCAAAATGAACTAATTTTTAAAAATTCTGTCCGGCAGATTCAAAATAAATGCGTGAAATCAATACATTAAGGGTGAATCTTTAATTTGTGCTATATTTTATCCCAAATTTGTTCAAAATTTTGCAATTTTGATTTTTTTCGTAGGTAAATAGGGTCCACAAAATCCTCTTTTTTATACCGTTCTGAGATTCGACGTATTTTATTGAAAATCTTACGAATGAAGGAACCTTTTGTGTTGTTCGTTATATGGTATTTATATCTTCCCAAAAGTTATGTTTGCTATTTCATTTCGTTTCATTTCATTTTTGGTGTTTTAGAAGGTCAGTCGTTGAAAAATTCCGCTCTATAACATCGTCTGCTCGCACCAAAAACAGTTGTTGTGTGCTTGAGAGTAAAGTACACATGCGAACTTTTAATGAACGTTTTCTCTATGGGACACGAACATACGTGAGCAGGATGTGTGCGCATTACACTCGGGTGCAGGAGAATTATCCCCCTCTGGCGAGAAGGCCGCTGACCTCCAGCCCTTCGGGCGCACAGGAGTACGAGTATGCTCGTGTTAACACGAATGGCTCGCTCCCTCACACCCAATGTGTCCTGTGTATTGAAAATGTTGAGGTGCAGAATAAGAAATCACGTGTACGGAAGTGTCGTTTCGGGTGAAAAAAGGATTACACAATCATCTCAGAGAATGACTGACAGTTACAAAGTCTGAGATCACACAATATGTCTCTTGGGAAAGGACACATGTTCGCGTACATAGTCCAGATGTTGATCAGTCTCCCTTTTCATCACGGCAACTTCGGCAAAGTGTTTTTAATCGCAAATATGCATAATACGTCAAGTGCATTTTTCTCAACATTTAGAAATGCAAAAAGCCCTATGTTCTCTGGCATACAGAAACTTTCGTCGTTCAATTTGAGAAAATTAATTGCAATTTTGATTTGAATACCCTTACAAAATCCCACTGCACTCTCGTCTGTGACCCATCAAAACTGGTCAATTTCCAACTCAATAGATGCTATATACATGGACTCCAGAGGTAATCAGTATTGTCAGGCCCCAAACGAGTCTCTGAAAGCAAAATTTACATACCTGTGATAATTTTCCTCAAACTGTAGCTATGCCTGTATCTGTGTAGTAATTATACATAGGCCCTAATCTGAGTTTTGGGCTTCAACAGGTCATTGTGCACAGAACGTCAGTGAATGGAACGAGTAGTGTTCCGTTCACTGTGTTACGTATAAAACGACTTCTTGTCACCACCGAAGTTCTATTGCTCACTTTGGAAAAAGCCAGGAGGGGGACCATGGTAATAGGGCGTTTGATGCTTTAAACAACCTATGGTGGCTTTCAGGGAACATAGCAGATCAAAACGCCAATCTTTGCAACAAAAACGGACAAAAATATCGTGAAATTTTGACACAGTAGGCCTATATGCGGTCGAAAATTTTGCTTATAATGCAGTTCAAAATCATTTATAAGTTTTTTTTGTCTAAGATGCACAGTTTCTCAAGCTTCTCTTGATCTCTTCGGTCACGGCGTGTTAAGCGTTACTGAAAAGCATGCTCCAGATGATGCGCAAGGCAGAATAATTCCGAATAGTTTGTTTATGAACTTTTTCATAAATATACCTTTTTCCTGTAATGTAAGATTTTAGAACACTGTTTGCCCTTAATGTCGAAAAAACACAAGACCCCACTGACTGCATGAAAAGCCTCAAAAAACGTATCACGTTATACTTTTGGCTGATCGCAACGACGAATTGAGACAGGTGACTTTTTTTTTTTATAATCCAGCCTGGAAAATAGTTCTGAAAATTATTATTAAAATCGGTCAATGACAAGAATCGTGTTTATTTTCGGTTATTGTGTTTGCAATTCCACACAAGCCTAATATGACACAAATTGTAATGTCCTCCATTGTTGAATAAGATCTTTACATTTTACTGGGCATGGGATGTGTTGGTGGGATTCTTGGATAGGCCATTTTAAGCTAGAGCGAAATTCACGAAACAGATTACATACTAATTGTTCACATGCCTTACCTGATTAGACTACTTCCGTACTGCGTAACACACTTTGGCTGCTGGACAGTTTGAAAACAATCTCAAAGTCTCCTTACCACCATACGGTGAGAGATGGGGAAAGTCAAGTGGTCAATCCTCGATAGAAAAAATTGGGGTTAGACCACCGTAATCTCACGTCATTTTGGAACAAATGCACATGCTCCTTCTAAGACTTCACAATTCAATTCTTTCGTAGATTTTAACTATTCGATAACACTTCATGAACACAATAGCGCTTTGACGTTGTCTCAAGTTTTGTAGCGCGTTGCACTGGCATTGGACGCATTTTAGGCACCCCAATTTCGTGAACGGTAACGCTGTCCGATACCCAACCCTGTTTGGCATCCTAAAAAGTAACGGGGAATA